ATTGAGATTTAGAAAACATCGGATAGCCTTGTCAGCAGATATTGAGGAGATGTTTCTTCAGGTTCACTTACCTGTCAAGGATAAAAGTGCCTTTATTTTCTTGTGGTATTCTGAGGGGAGACTGGACTTACCACCGAGCCTGTATGAATTAAACGTACATCCCTTCGGTGCTACCTCATCACCTTTTTGTGCAGCCTATGCTTTGAAACGAGCCACAATCGACGTTAGTTTATGTGGACGTTATTGACGACGATGGAAACAAGGTCAACTCCTTGCCGATACGTTTTGGAGATGGTGGAAGCGGGAGTACTTGACGACCTTACAATCGCGTGCAAAGTGGGTTCAACGACATCGAAACTCACAAGTGGGAGACCTAGTATAGCACTAGTGACTGCGGAGCCTTCACCTCGCAATCGTTGGTCAACGGGAATAATTACAGGTGTTACGGGAAGCTGTGATGGGTGGGTATATCAGAAAAGTGGATATCAAGACACCGAGGGGTATAGTCAACCGAGATGTGCGTAAGGTTTGCCTATTAGAAGGTATTGAGGAGAGATAAGCACTTTGCGGAAGCGTTGGTGGCATAGCGGTTGAGACACTAGCAGACCATGGACATGGTTCGGGGTTCGCTCCCCGGCCGACGCACTCCTTTAACCTCGCCTAGATTTACTAGGTCACTAGTATTCTAGCCGATCCTAAGCCCGGATAAAGAGGGAGGGTTGGGGCGTGATGCTAGCAACTCCACCCCCAAAACTTAACCGAATTGCTACTAAAATTTCAACGCAGAAATATATCGAAAATTCTAAAAATACAAACAATGGCCTTATTTTTCGCTGGAATCGGGGAAGTGAAACAACGCAGGCTGGTGAAAGCCTTCGGGAAGCCAGTCAGCCGATGTGCCTTCTTTCGATGAAAGCAAAAATAAGGATGGGGACGTGGAATATTCGTACAATGTACGAAACTGGAAAGGCTGCTCAGGTAGCCGCAGAAATCAGGAGATATAAAATAGAAGTGTTGGGAATCTGCGAGAGCAGATGGAACGGATGAGGAAGGTGCCAACTACCAACTGGAGAGACAATAATCTACTCCGGTCACCCAGAGGACGATCACGAGCACACCGAGGGAGTAGCCATCATGATGTCACCAACAGTGGCTAAGGCTCTCATGCAGTGGGAACCAATCTCCTCCAGGATAATGACAGCCAGGTCCAACTCAAAAGGAAGGAAGGTTACAATCATTCAATGCTACGCGCCTACAAACGTCTCAGAAAAAGAGAAGAAGGAGGATTTCTACAGTCAACTACAAACAGTAATGGACAACATCTCAAAGAGCGATATCAAAATCCTGATGGGTGACATGAATGCGAAACTGGGAGGAGACAATACAGGAAGAGAACTTACCATGGGTCGTGAGGCACTCGGTGAAATGAACGAAAATGGTGAACTCTTCTCAGACTTCTGCGCCTTCAGTGATTTGTTGATTGGTGGCAGTGTGTTCAAACACAGGGATATACACAAGGCAACATGGATTTCACCAGATGGACACACCAAAAACCAGATAGACTTCATTTCAATCTCAAGGAAGTGGAGACGGAGCCTACTGGACACAAGATCGAGGAGAGGAGCAGATGTGGGTTCAGACCACTATCTAGTACAAGGGACTTTCAAGGTGAAGCTGAAAGCCTCGAGGATACCTGGGGATGCAAGTTCAACACGCAAAAACTGAAGGACACAATCACACAGGACATTTTCACTACAACTGTCAGAGTAAAGCAGGAAACACTACGTGGCATTACTGAGGAACAATCCGTGGAAGACCATTGGAACCCTCTGAAGGCAATTTTCAACGAAACGTGTTCAACGGTTTTAGGAAGAAAGAAGAAACAAGACAAGGAATGGCTCTCAACTGACACTTATAAGCTAATAGAGGAGAGAATGGTGAAAGAGAAAATGATTCAATGCAAAGATGGACAAGAGAAAGAGATGCTGAGCTCAAATTACACAGCACTGGACAAAGAAGTGAAGAAGAGTGCCAGGAAGGACAAAAGACACTTCTACGACAACCTGGCTACTGAAGCTGAGAAGGCAGCAGGCAAAAGGGACCTGAGGACACTATATCAGATAACCAAGTCTCTATCCTGGAAGAGATCAACACAAGTGAAACCTATAAAAGACAGCCAAGGGAACCCAATTACCAAAGAAGAAAGACAGATTAAACAATGGGCAGACCTCTTCAAAGGACTCTTGAACCGACCACCACCTACAACCCGTCCAAAAATACCAACAACAGCACGTACACAACTGCAAGTTGATACCAATCCTCCAACGAAAACTGAAGTCTTGAATGCAATCAAGCTTCTGAAAGCTGGAAAAGCAGCTGGCCCAGATGGAATACCCCCCGGAAGCACTGAAAGTGGACCCAGAAACGACAGCAGATATGCTGACTCCATTGTTGGAAAAGATCTTGAAAGAGGGAAAGGTGCCTACTGACTGGAGGAAAGGTTACCTCGTGAAACTACCAAAGAAGGGCGACTTAGGAATCATGCTCCTGTCGACGCCAAGTGTTAATTCCTTTCCTACCTGTTCATTCTCAATCTTTCCTTTGTTCCACATTATACTACTTGCCATTAGTAAGTGGTATGATTTTCTTTGTATGTTAATTTATAACAATGACACTTGCTTACAACTGCAGTTAAATTACTTGTTCTATTATCATTCATTCTGTTAATGTATAGTTCTTATTTTTCTTCTCCTTGAACATTCATTATTTTCCGACCTTACCCTATAGTGTATGCTTCCCTATTGAAAGTTGTTTGTTCATATTTGCTTGCTTGGCATTCGCGGGCCGTTTGAACAGACACGTGGATCGACGTTGACACAGCGTTGCTGTTTTTACTTATTGACTGCACAGTGGTTGTGCATTTGACGGCATTTAGGCACAGACACCTCACATTTTGAGGTTTGTATATTATATATCTATTTTTATGTAATAAAGTACCGTATTGCAGAATATCCTGTATATCGAACTTTACTCACGCGCCACTCAACGTGTGGTTAAATCTATAGTTTGGATTATCGTTTCGGATTTCTTTCGGGAGAAATTCACAATAACAAAGATGTAGTAGCAAACAGAATATCAACTGAAATTGAGGAAATTTCTCCAAAAAACTGAGGATCATTCAAACGTAGATGGCCAAGGTAAGGATAATGTCTGAACTAACTTCTTTTGGATGCACAAATTAGGCTTGTTAACATGGATCCCAACAGCTTCAGCAATAATTAGTAATCGAACTCTTAAGGTAAAACTGAGATTCGTTTTTTTTATCCTTCGCGTTCCCCAGTGGAACATAGGGCTTCAAGCTAGTGCCTTGAAGTTTCTGTATCAGTGTTTATTTTACAGGATGGGGTTGCTAGCTTCATGTCCAACCTTTCCTCTTCACCAGCATTATTTCTGGCTTAACGAGGTAAAGGAGTGCGTCTGTGGCCGGGGATCGAACCCCGGACCATGTGTATGGTCGGCGAGTGTCCTAACCACTACACCACCGACGGGAGATTCGTTAGCATGCGGTAAATAGCCCTTAAAGCATGGTTAACGTCAGTCTTGTGTTCCGTATCCACAAGATGAGATAGAATAGCGCTGCAAATAGATTTTGTTTATCCTTTGCTTAACGACACAAGGTGATGTTTGGAAATTCGGCGAGAAACACGCCTAATTGTACGGCCTCTGTACCTGGCACACTCCACAGGAGCAGTTAAACTGGTAGATACACATAGAGTGGGAGGCGAAATTAGGTAGTTTGTCTTTCACTCCCGAACGCAAGAGAGGAGTGGTTTTGAAGACAGCGTAATTCAGAAGCAGGGAATGCTCTTTTTACCTCATTTCTAAGGCGCTGTGTTAGTATCTCGCTGATGCTGTCCCCAAGGAACTGCATTTGTAAGAATAACACCATTGTAGAAACTGTTGGTACCTTGGGTTGCCTTGATTTTAGATTCATATTCTTATCAACAAACTTTTCTGGATAACCATTTTCACTCAGCAACCGTTTAATATTATTAGGTTCCTCATCAAGACATTCATCCGAGCAAATTGCTCTTACTCTGTGAACCAAGACAGCTTTAAAGGGGTTTGTGGTACAAGTGCTATCGATCAACCCCCAGGCTCAATGCGGCGTATAAGATAATTAACTGAATGACATTTCAAGCCCTGTCTATTGTTTGTACACCAGGTTCATTATTTGGAAACGCAACAGCTGAGCAAAAGAAATGCCGCATTCCGTCTGTTTACTGTATGAATGGTTCGTAACTGCTGTCCAACAGATGGCCATTGTAGGAGTGCACAGTAAAAAAAATACTCCAAATCTGACCACAGAATGGTGTCGGTAAAGACCAGTCATCTTGAGATTTGAATTTCAAATCGCATTCGCTAGATTTTATGAGAATGATTGAAGTACTTGTGTATGCCCGCATTAACGACCTGGTACTGCCGAGTGCATGTAGACTCCGGCCTTTCTGTCTCCAGAAATGTCTTCCTGTGACCAAGCATTCACACCCTCTGCCACATAAGTTCTGTTCACTCCTTTCATGCGGCCTTGCTGGTGTTTCTCACAAAAGTGATGCGGCAAGTCCGTATATCCGGCGCCTTCAACCATACTGGTGGACATGCTTGTCTACCTAAGGCAGCTGGAAAGCTCTGACTCCAAACCTACGGTTTACATCGGTTCCAGAATCCGAAGGGAAGAAATAACGTGTTTTGATCACCTTCGACCACGAGAACGCAGCTCCATTGAGTTGTAGATCAAAGTCAAAGACTGGGGTTGGTTCTTTAAGACAGCCACCTGCTTCAGTCTGCGGTCTGCACAGTATCCCAGTCCTCGCACAACTTATGAAGTTTTTCTGACGTATCTCTCGGTGTTCCTCGAATATATATATATATATATATATAACTCCAAGAGTCCTTTATCCACTAGATATTTTTTTAAATACTCATCTTTTCTTTGCTAGATGTAAACAATTGCTGAGTAATTTTATGCGTCAGATACGAGTTTATCTGAGCATTATCATTCCCTGTGTCGTCTGTTCGTGTATTTTGGACCGTTGGGCATTTGGCAGATGGACAATAAATCAATGGAACTTTGTTAAATTCAATGTTTTGCACGGTGGATCAGGTGTATATGGTGTTCAACCATGGCATTGGTATCTATCACAAGGATTGGTGGTTATGCTGTTGACGCAAACACCTCTAGTTCTAGGCTTTATAATCATCTACATTAAATATGGTCCATTTTCACGGAAAGATTTTGAGGAATACAGCGAAAAGATTGGCAATTCAAATGTTTCTAGACGTCGATTGTTTCGTGATCCCACTGGCATATGCATTATTGTCATACTGTGGACTGTTATGTGTTATAGGTAAGTTTAACTGCACCATTGTCAACTATATTGCTCCAGCTGCTTTTCTCTTTCCATCTGTTTATATATATTTATTTGAGTGTAATTAGAAGCATTATGTGTCCGCTATATAACTGTGATTAAAGTCATCAGTGTGGAAACATGGTTGCATGTTTCTGACAAGTCTGAGAGATTCAAAAGTACAATTATACGCAGAAATGTGAGGTAGAAAGACTAAGTAACATGGAAAATCTTTAGAGTTTAATGAAAATAAGAAATCATAAGAAGTAGGGGTGATTTTGAGTCATATCACAAATAGTCTGCGGTTATTTGGTTCTCAGCATCCCGAACTAGGCGATGGGACCTCCTTACATGACGTGACTCAAACCAGCAGTCAAAGACTTCATTGACCAACCGATGACAGGTTTTGACCTGACCATCCTTAACTCTTTTCCAACTTAATCCTGTGTCGGCTAACATTGCCTGTTGTCGAGGGAGGCCTGGGGCTTTGCATTCGCAACACGTGTCCTAACCATCTCAATCGATGTCACTTCACATTCTCATCTACTGACTTCCATTATGTGTCTCGCAGTCAGTGCCTAACCTTATTAATACTTGACATGTTGCACCACTTAAGACAGGGAGTACGACTCACACATCTGTGGGCAAAGGCAGATAGCCGCTTAATATCTTCCACTTCCGATGTCGATGTATCACAGACTCAGAGAACTGCTGAACACAGTACACACGTCAGCAAGCAGTCGATTGGAGCTGATGCAATTTGCCAAGCAAGAAGTGAAACGGGATCTCAGTGTTTTGGAAAGTAGTTCATCGGCGTATGTTAGTATCTTATGTGGGAAAGCTCTAGTCTACCAGCCATACAGAAACCATGTTTCGAAATATGACTATCAAGAGTGACATACTAATAACCTGCTTTCGGTATACAAAAGTATGTTATGGAAAAGTTATTATGATTATTATTATTAGTTCCTTTAGTTCCTAGAGGAACATAGGGCTTTAGCCACACGTCTCCATTGCGTTCGGTTCTCTGCTAGAGTCTTCATCTGGCTCCAGTTCTGCCCACATGCTTTCATCTCCTCTTCACGTGGCAACTCGAACTGCTGCACTTCGGTGCCAAGTTCTATGTTGAATCCAGCCTCTTCACATGACCCCTTCCTCCATGTCACCCTTGCACTGACGACCAACTAACTCGCCGCTTCCCATTCGGCTTCCACTCGAGCGATGGCCTGGCACCTAATGTCACTCGATGGTTTCCTCAGAGTATGGGTTGTTGAAACCGAAGATGAACTGGTAAAAAGATGGACAAGAAAAGTAGGAACTGAGTTCAATGTACAATACACTGAATAAAGAAGTGAAAATTGTTAGGAAAGACAGACAATTCTACAACACATTAGCAACAACAAGGCCAGTAGCGGCAAGCAGTAGTCATCAGTGGGTGAATTAAACAATTGCCGTTCGAGTCATCTAAAGGATTTCCAAAGGTCTGCAGCAGACTCTCATTAACATCTGCCTTCGCTAGCTCGATACTAAAGATTGGATAACCAAAAAAGATAAACAACAAGGAACTCTAGTAGACATAAAACCAACCAAGAAGAAAATGGAGAGGGGTCGAAGACACTTTGAGGCGACTTTGGATGACATCATGAGCGCCAGGCCTCCCAGTGGGTGTCGATCCGCAGGCAACATGGAGGAGGCGATGTGAAGAGAACATGAAGGCTTGTGCGCAGTCGTGAAACCGGTTTAAAGTGACGGCAGAGAACATAGTACAATGGAGTAGTAGTGTAGCTGAAGCCCGGTACATGAAGAACAAGTAATAGCAATAAATCAACTTATCATCACTAAAAATTCCTCTTTGAGTCATATAAAAGAAAAGGTGTTCGGCAAAGAGTTACTCTTTTCGGCGATATCATTCTCAAACTGTTCAATCGCGCATATATATAGCAACAAAAGGAACATTTGCAAGGATGTGTCATTAAAATTGTAAGTCTTAGACAGCAGATCTTGTTAATCGATTAGAAACTAAAATAACATTAAACAAGCGAGTTGACTGACGTTATCTAATTAACGGGGTTGAGTAGAGCTCAGCTAAAATTAAAACTGAATAAAGTCAAGTTAACAACATTGGCAGTAAGGGGCAGAGGTTAAATAAGGGGTGGCAGAGGAAAATACTATACGATTAAGAAAGAAACAAACAAGAAAAAGACGAAACAAAAAATTACGTATTTGGCGTTAAGATAGGTCAGGTCCATTGTAGATTTAATGACTGAACAAACTTCCTCTTTTGTATGAAGAGTTCAGGTTTTAGTATGTGAACTGCCATTGCTTCTGAGGCTTGAAGAAGTTTGATTTGTACTCTTTTTAGCAAGATATTCACGTATTCTATGGATGACTTTGTAGTTACTTTGAGAGTTTGCTTGCTGTCCTGATTCGATTAGGTGTTCCAGAAAGGAGCTTCTGTTGGGAGACATTTTTCCTCCTTTATAAAACCATGACTGTGAGTAAGTGTTCGATGATACGTTTGGATGGTAAACTCTGGGTATGGCCGATATACGTAGCTCCACACGATCAGATGAATTGGTAGATGCACACTGATGAGGCCAACAGTGGTAGCATTGGTTTATCACCATTAAACCCTTCTGGTCCATATTTTCATTCTCAAAAAGAACTTGTTTTGGAATCTGACTCTGATGGAAGGACTTTTTTCAGTGTAAGTCTACTGTATGCGACTGCAGAGTATATTTCCGAAGGTTGGCGGTTGTTAAAAGTGCTGTTAAGAAGACTTATTCTTTGTCCAATCACTTTGCTTTTTCTCCACGTTTTTCGGGGGACTGTGGGGATGGGGGAATTATTAATGATGAATAGAAGAGTAGAATTTCAGCACTGCAATAGTTGATAACTGCAGATTGAATCAGTCTATTTTGAGCAGATATAACACTGTATCACTCACTGTGTGGTAACTAGTCATTGAACTCTGTAGGTATCATAGTTTCATAAACCCAAGAAGTCTCAGGAACAGTCGGACGCCACCAATTTTTATGCATTCGGGTATGGCACCCCGTCATACTTATCTAACTAAATAGCTCTTAGTAAATTATTAAGGTAATTTTATGCATATCTTATTTTCGCCATAGGTAGGTACACTATTGTATCCGCAGTACTGCTTTTCAGTGCTGGTTCCCCGTTATCCCTTATTTCACAAGAAGTTATTTCTACCGATGACATTCTTTCTTACACTGCTGTTGTTGGCGTACTTTAGTAGTGGTAATACTGTATCATTTTTGGTTAACCGACGTCAGTTTGGATGGTTGATAACCAGTGTTCTGCGGGTGATCACTGCGCACCCCCCCCACCTACCTAATGCTATAGTCCTATTCGCAACAAACATTTACATTAAAACAAGAAGTATTGAACAGTTTACCTTTTTTTCTAAAAGCAAACAATTAACACCACATATTGCGTATTACTGGATTGCTGTTGGAATGAATTTCTCAGGTATAGTGATGATTATGAGATGATAAAAGTTCTCAAAAAAAAAGTTTCTCTATATGACATGATTATGGGATAATAGGAGAATTTATTTGGTGATTAATGAAGCTGGTTAGCATACATATTCGTTAGAAAAGATAGTTGTTAAGTATTTTTCTTGATTGCTCACAGGATTTCATCATGAGCTGACATCGGTTGGAGGACTATTGGAAAACCAGCTGGGAGTACTGCCAGACAGCTGCCTAGTCAGTCTAGTTTGGGACTCTTCAGCAGTACGCATCCATCGGGGTTCGAACCCAGGACCTGGTTACAAGGATTGCCTGCTGGTAAACCATTAAGCCACCGGGACCGGACCCGATGGTCAGCTTATGAATTCCAACCTGTGCCAATTCACGACGTAGTGCGATCACTAACCATTGTCATCGCTGGCGAGTACTTGTGCTCACACCCGACCTGCTGCACCCTGCTGGTCACGACGTCCCACTAGTGTCCAAGGTGACTACCTACCTGAATAGAGCCAGTCACTATTGAGCATCTCACTGGGAGCTGTACTCCCACGTTTTCTAATGGTCCTCGAACCGATGTCAGTTTATTATGAAATCCTATAACCAACCAATCGAATCCCTACAAACCAATACTTGAAAATTTTTCTTAATGCTATGTATTTAGAGTGAAAAATAGAGGGTTAGGCTTGATTCCTCATGTTTCAGCAGTCACTGTTGTCGTATTTTTCTTAGCCGGCTTAATAGCTTCACACCTAACCTCTCCTTTCTGTCGGGTTAAGTAGGTTTTAGAAGTTCATCGACCGGGAGTTGGACCTTGGATCAGCCTGTGTCACTGACGAAAATTATACCACTGAACTAAAGATGCTCACCAGATAAATATACTGCCTACTGTTTCAGATTATTAAGATGTCAGACTGTGTGAATCATGTGATGAGTACATGTTGTCAGTTTGTGAAGTAACTGAATACTTGATCCATTGTATGTACCTGAGATGCATTCATCCGGCGCCTAAAGCTTTCAACACTGCGTCGGTGGCACAGTGGTTAGGACTCTCGCCGACCATGCACATGGTCCGCGGTTCGATCCCCTGCCGGCGCACACCCGATATCTATGGTCAGCCTGAATTTGGGCTACCGATATCCATGCTGAAAATTCCACACTTGTACTGAAAATACCGGGTGGAATCAAGCTGTAAATCAAAATAAATAAAGGGTTATTCATTAATCGGATTGGTTATCGGTTTTTGGTCTATGATCTCATTCAGTTGATATCTCAATATCCAATTAAATAAGATTTTCATTTTCATGGAGGATTTCATCATGAGCTGACATCAGTTAGAGGACCACTGGAAAACCTGCAGGGAGTACTGGACAGCTGTTTTGTCCTAGTTTGGGACTCTTCAGTAGTACGCACCCACCAGGATTCATCCATTCATTTTCATCATCCAGTGTTGGTTATTAGAAAGGTCTACATTTCATACTGAACAGTAATCAAATAATGTTATAGAAA